TTACACATACAGCATCATATTATATACATATACAATATCTGTATTCAATATTGATGGGTTGTGAGCTTATTAAATTTCAAAATAAGCAAAAGATGAAAAGGCAGATTTAGAAACGCTGGTTTAGAGTAACTAAACAGCTTTTAGACTGAATGATTTCATGGGTTTGGAATTTTTGCCCACTATAGGCAATTCCAACTCCTGACGACTTACCAAAAATCTTCAAAAGAAATGCAATCATGCCCTGAAATAAAATTATCCCTTTACTATTGAGTTTTTCTTGTTTTACGCCACCGAAGTTGGTACAAATGTTATAATCTCGAATCAAAGTTTTGCCTGTGACGGATTTCACGCCAACTCGTCTTCGGAGTTGGCAGCACCCTCTCAGAACCTTATGAAACTTTGTGGGTGTGGAGACTTAGCAATTTTAAGCAACTTTGAGTACTTATTTTTTTCAAAATTTATCTCGCCTAACATTTGATAAGGGTCAAAGTTTTTTGTCGATTTTTTTTTCAAATCGATATAGCTTAAAAATGACAAGCCCTACAAAATAGTGATGTATGGCGAACTTTTAGCAAATAATCTGAAATTTTTTAAAAAAAATTAAATAAATTAAAAAATTGGTTTCTACACTCTAAAAAAATATATTTAAAAATTAAAAGTAATTTTCCCAAAAATGGTACCCCTCAGATTTGCTTGATATTTTTTCTCATGAAAGGCAATATAATTACCTAACTTTTCTTCATACATCGCAAAGTGGGCGCTTTTAAGGAAAAAAAGTTGTTCGAACAACAACTTTTTCATGTTAATTTTTTTTTTAGCGTGTTTCACTCAAAGTCGAATAGTAATACGCGCACAACCTTATTAAAATCCGTTGAAACTTAATGAACTCGTAGAAGGCAAATTAAATTTCTCCTTTAACTGCATGATCATTTCGTCAAAATCATTTGATTTGTTGACATCGTCTGAATCCATCCCAAATATATTTTTACGCACTGCCTTTGTGATCTCTGCAGATTTTTGAACACGATAATTCATACTTCTCATACTTCTCGATGAAATTGGTGATAACTGTAAGGTTGAAGCTATACAATTGAATTGTTCCACATTATATGGACCTTGGATCTGATCCGCTGATGGGATTGATTCTAGCGATGGATCTGTATCTGTAAAATTAAAGAAAAGAAAAAAAAATATTACCACACATTAATATATAACGCTGTTAAGGTGATAGTACCATGAACGGGGGTGGTTTTGATAATAGGGGTAACTTTGGTAATGCAGCTAAGCCAAAAATTTATGACTTAAGGCACATCGTACGCAATATTTTGGATAGGAAACCGATGTTCCCTTCCAAAATAATGAATACGAAGAGCATTAAGTCATAACTTTTTGGATTAGCTGCATTATCAAAGTTACCTCCATTATCAAAGACATCCCCGTTTACGGTACATCGAAGCCGCATCTGAATTTTCCCCATGTTTGTGGAGCACGAGCTGCATAAACCGCATATCGTACAGTCGTGAAAATTTGATAGATTGTTCACCGAGGTTGGCCTACCAATCGATCAAATTTGTACGATAAGCGGTTCATCCAGCTCGTGCTCTAAAAAAATGTTGAAAATGAAGTTGTATCTTCGATGTACAATCCTTAAACCACACAGTTGAAACAGTTAAAGTTATTATTATTTACCTAGTGTATCATCAAATTCCTGATGTTCTGATTGCTGATGACTTGTTGATGGTTGCGGCTCTTCAAACTTCCGAGCATGGCTTGATTCTTTTCCATCCGATCGCCTCTTTTTCGGGAGAGGTGTCCTATTGTGCACTAAAATTCCACGACACGATTCACAAATACGCATTGTTACATCCAATTGATGATCAAAGCCCCATGAATGTATTTTCTCTATGAGACTTGATGATAAATTACGTAAATTATTGCGGCTGCAATTGGGATTGTTTATGTTGGCACTACATTGCACCCTTTTAATAATCAATTCAGCAGATTTTTCCATTGTTGTATATATAAACACTTTTTCGTTTCAACAACTATGCAGCACTACACTTTCAACAACTATGCACTACAGCAACTATGAGCATTGTTGTGATATCACCAAACTTAAATATTAGATTATGTCGGTAGAAACAGACTGCGGTGCTTTAAGTTTATACCTTATATCTCTCATGTGACTACCTGCGTTGTTATATAACTGCTATATAGCAGGTAACTTAACGATTATTTTAGGCATGCCTTAAATAATCGTTAAGTTACCTGCGCTATTATATGTATTCACTTGAGAGATGAGGTATAAACATATATATGCATATTGCTTACTAATGGACACACCTAATACATAAAAATAAATGAATGATTATTTTTCTATTTAAATTAATCACAAATACATGAATTGAAATCTTTTCATGAATAAAACATACTAAGTGATTTTTACTTAGTTTACCTGTTGATTTGGAACAATTTGAGGGTGGTTTTATAGAAGTTGGATAGAGTGTATGCATATATTATAATACAATCCATCACAGGAAAGTGCAAACCATGCTGAGATGGCTGTTCCTCATTAGAACGTTTTGTTCTGAACTCTTATTGGACGATTTACAGGTAACTTCTCTGTACCCTTTTCAAATGTTAGGCTAGATTTCGCCCACATTATCGAAAAGTATACCCATAAAGTTTAATCGAATTTTAATAAGGTTGTGCGCGTATTACTATTCGACTTTGAGTGAAACACGCTAAAAAAAAATTAACATGAAAAAGTTGTTGTTCGAACAACTTTTTTTCCTTAAAAGCGCCCACTTTGCGATGTATGAAGAAAAGTTAGGTAATTATATTGCCTTTCATGAGAAAAAATATCAAGCAAATCTGAGGGGTACCATTTTTGGGAAAATGACTTTTAATTTTTAAATATATTTTTTTAGAGTGTAGAAACCGATTTTTTATTTTATTTAAATTTTTTTATAAAATTTCAGATTATTTGCTAAAAGTTCGCCATACATCACTTTTTTGTAGGGCTTGTCATTTTTAAGCTATATCGATTTGAAAAAAAAATCGACAAAAAACTTTGACCCTTATCAAATGTTAGGCGAGATAAATTTTGAAAAAAATAAGTGCGCAAAGTTGCTTAAAATTGCTAAGTCTCCACACCCACAAAGTTCCATAAGGTTCTGAGAGGGTGCTGCCAACCACTGGATGAGTTGGCGTGAAATCCGTCCTGTAACTCTTCGAAAACATCAACCATTTTTGTGATTTTTTGGGGGATAGTCGGGCTCCTTTCATCAAGTGTAAAACATTGAGTTTTAATTTGCACGGGCTTCAAAAACGTCAAAACGAAGTTTTGCCCCACTTTATTTTATGTTTTTTTTAGAACGATTGTTTAGAGATATTGTCGAGATTTAGGATTTTTTTTGCTGGGCCACGTACTAATACAAATACTTTAGATTTTAGTTTTTTTCTACCTTCTGGAATTAAGAAAAATATAAAATATAAAAAATATAAAGATCTGGTTTAAACAATTATTGTATGCCTTTGGTATTTGATTTTTTCTGAGACGAATAGACATATTTGAGATGTTGGCCATTGACAAAAATTCAGATCCCAGAAAACAAGTTTCTGGAAAATTTGTAATTGTTTTGTTATTTTCCAAAATTCCGAAAAAAAAATCTGGAACTTTGAAAAATTGACAAGATTTAAGACTAAGATAAATATTCTTCCAGCAAGACTAAGTAAAGTTATAAAAAAATACAGAACTTCGATTAAATTTTCTTAGTTTTGAGAATTTATTTTATTTTAAGAATCCTCATTATATTTAAATTTTAAAACTGGGAAATCTCCTAGTAATGAGTTTTGGATTTGTGGAGTAATGCATAAGCCCTTCGGAAAACGCTCAATAGGACATGATCCAAACTGACGTATTGAAACAGATGACTCTGTATCAGTGGTAGTGAAATCGAAATTTTGAGTAGTATTTCTTCGCACTACCCAGATCATTGCTTTTAGGAAACGACACATATCCACACATTTTCTTTTAGTTTACTACCATTCTTCCGTGAGCTCGGTTGGTAAGAAGTATCCGAGAGTGATGCGCTTGATATGGATGAATACAAACGAATTTGCTGTCGCATAGTGATGACTATCACAAACTCAATGTATTGTCAACTAAGCAGTACTTTGAGCTACTAGCACCTCCTTCTGGAAAATAATATCAATGAGTAAACGTGACGTCCAATTATTGCGTAGCTACTCAGATTAACTGTCCTGCCTGTGTTTTTTAGTTAAAGGACCGGAGCGACGGACAACCATCTGGAAGAAGCTTCTTTTAGAATCTTCTTACGCTTGAGAAGATTTAGAAGCTTATTCTAGAAGCTTGTCTGTCGCTCCGCTCTGCTAACTAGAAAAAAAAACATGGCCAAGACAATACATCAGAGGAGCGTTTTTCAAAGGTTAACCCTTAAAAAATGCCTTCCTTGATTTTATTAAAACATAACACGTGCTCCTTGACTCCATTGTCACCGAAAACTTAATATTTGTTGCTAAATGTTAACCATTGTTTTTTAATTCCAGTTTCCAGTTGGCCCAATTGAGACGAAATTTTGTGAATGAAAATATAATAGAAATATTAAAAAAAAACTGTTCTAGATAAGCTAAACAGATCTACATCAAAGTATTGCCTGTAGGTATTTTGTTTTTCACACTGTTGTTGTGTTCAAACCTCTCGAAACATACCTAGTATGCAAAACCAGAATTTAGGATGGAAAGGGTTAATGCAGTTTTAAATATGCTTTTAACGTGAAGATCCGGTGGAACTGTGATTTGCGTTTTCTTATTTTGGGGGAAAGATGAAAATTTCAATATACGTATTATCAACATACCTTCTTTTTTGGATTCACGTTATACTGCCTGTACTATCACTGTATTTTTGTCTGTTTCTTTTTCTCAAAACGCTCACCACTTGGGAATGCTACGGTTCACTGACTATTGCATACAATCAGGAAACATGAGTAGTGGTTCATTCTTCAGCAATAGCAATAGCATTGACAGCAGCACGACAAATAGCAGCAGCAGTACAACCAGTGTCAACAGTATAAATAACGATGTATTCATCAACAACTACAGTCTACTGAATAATAACAATAGTGCCAACGCCGCCACCACCGGCTGCAACGGTGGGGGAGGGAGTGGTGCTGATCTTTCAAACTTTAATAGTAGCCAGTTTACGGCATTCGGTGATTACCAGAATAATGCTGCAAACTCCTACGGTGGTAGTTCGCTCTGCAGTGGGCCGAACGGTTACAGCTACTTTCAAAACTATCAACCTGATACGGGCTGTAGCGGCAGTAGTAGCCTTAACTTCACCACCACTGGTAATAATAGCAGCAGTAACAACAACAACATCATCAACAACAACGTCAGTAACGTCCAGTGGAATCTGTGGCAGCAGTTCAATCAGTGGCCACCCCACGAACCACAGCCCATGTTTGGAAGTATGGGTAGTTTGAGCTGCAATAACCAAAGTCACCAGTCATCAGCTAGTTTAATAAGGTCGCATCAGCACCAACAGCAGCAACAACAACAACAGCAACACCAGCAGAATCAACAGCATCACAGCTCAAATCAGAATCGATGGAGTAAGTGGTGTCGATGAGTGTCTGTTTGTGTAGCTTGCATTGCCCCTCAGGCCAGGTTGCCTTATTGCTTTGTTCATCGGCCGTAGTTGCATACCTGTCGCATCCCCAGGCGTGTTCTTTAGATTTGGTTTGCTTTTATTGCATCTTCCGATTTGATTGCTGATTTGAGTCTTTCAATATTCATGTTGTGTGGATTTATGTTTTCATGCATCAGTAGGTTTGGCTTTTTCACGAGTCAGGCTCCATTTGTTGAGCTGCGTTAGTCAAGTGGATCTAATAATTCCCCATTGATATTTGCAGCCATACGAATCATTTCATCATCATCATTGCTATAATTAGCAACCGTTGAGAATCATTAGTTTGATTATGCTAGATAATTATTTATTTATTTATTGAGTTACTTATTTGGTTCTACATATTATTTATGAACAGTAGAGATTGATCTGAACTAGATTGGAGGACTTGTTTAGGGTTATACATGTTTAACTGTTTCTCAGAGATTTTAGACACCTTTCCCACCTGTGTGTACAGTCTTCCATACTAATTTTAGGAAATTGGTAGATAGTCTTCATAAGTCTCTTTAACACTCCTGGATCATTCGTAACTTATCCCGGGATGAGATTTGAACTCGTGACTTTGGCGTGAGAGGTAACGACTAGGCCGGAGCCGTCCCCATTCTTGGTCAGTTTAATTTGCTTGGTTTTAAATATAATTAGAACTTGTATGCTTTGACTTGTGCATATTCATTTTATATTATGTTTAGATGTTTTGCATGAGATATAATCTTCTATATCATCGTTTTTCAATCGTTAGAGAATTCCCCCCAGAAGGGAAAAACCACTGTTCTATAGCGGAAGGGATATGTTCCAAGAACAGGCAGGAATGATATTCACACTATTGTTCATAAGTTCGATTTTCTTTACCAGTGTGGTACCGACTGGACGATCTGTGTGTGACAATTGACAAGGCATCATGTTACTGTGTATAGTTTTCAAAGTTCTGTGAAAATTCATCCTGATACAGGAGAATACTCTCCGGTGACAACAGGCAGGATTCCGTACCGGAAGATCGTGTGTGGATCATATTGTTACGCTCCGTATCCTCCTGGAGCACATAAACGGATTTCGAGGGTTTCTGTATTTGGTATTTAATCGAAAAGTCACGACTCAGTTTTACGCAAAATTTGGGGTATACTACAGCTGTCAAACCCTCTATACACAGGTTGAACCCAACATGTCCTCGATTATGACAATCTGTTATATGGGACGTTTTGGTTCAGAGTCCTATTCTGAATTATTTAAAAAACTAACTGTTTGCTTAGATATTCCAGTTTCATGATGTTTTTAAACGGCTGTTCAATAGTGTCCTCTGCGCAAAATGCAGTTCGTCATCGCTTGCTGCCAGAGAGCGGTGATTTTATTATTTCAGTGCTGCCATTGTTGGAAAAAAATCTCTCCGCATCATCTAGCTTTTAAAATGTAAATAGAGGTGGCACACTACGAAGAAGCGGACACGAAATCTTCAAGCAAGTGCTTGATTGGAATCCTGCAGGACAACAACGCAGCAAAGATAGACCCAGGAGCGCGTGGCGCCTTAATAAGGAAGTTTACTTGGTGGACCTTACACGATTGCTTTTATTGACAATAATGGTATTGTCAATCCATTCTATATTGACGTCAACGCATCCATATTGACAATATTTCTGTATTAACATAATCAATATTATTGTCAATAATTCCACTTCACGTCAATATATTGATACGTGTGGGGTTCGCTGACGAAAGCTTGCAGCCGCCCAGGTTGAGAATCTTTCACGTTGCCGAGCTTCCTCGGCATATCAGTGCGCCGTTGTGTAAGTAAAAGAACATCAGCAGCCATCGAACTCATTGAGATGAGATGATCCATAGGCCACTGTTCGATACACTGTCAATTGAGCAACAGTAGCGGTGATAGTATACATGCAGGCCCCTTTCTGCATGACTCTGCACGTGAAGCCTCATATTGCACTTCGATGAGGTTGATGATTTCATTCGGAACTCCACTTGCACCTCAGAACGCTCGACAGATGTTCGTGATTGAGTCGATCGAACGTTTTTTTTTCGGTATAGTCAATGAGTACCAAGCACAAGGACTCTTGGAATTCGGTCTATGACAGTGATTCCCGGAGAGTCACGTTTGATCTATTTCAAACAGACCTTTGAGAACTATACACAGTAACATGATGTCTCTCGTCAATTATCGTACACAGTTAGATTCCCCTGCTTAGGAACCATAACAAAGTCGCCCGTAATCCGGTAAAAACTCTCAACCAAAAAAAAGGTCCTGTTTATGGGGTCAGGTTTGAGCATCTTTGCTGATGTGCAATCGACCCTGGAGCCTTGTTGCATTCCATGCTTCGGATAGTTACAACTTCTGCAGTGATTGAGCCTCGGAGTTCACGTGAGTGATTCGCCGTACCTATGCGAAGATATTGATGGCTGGGTTAGCAGTGGAAACTTAAAATAGTTGTTTGAAGTGCTCAAACCAGATCAGTGGAGTCGGTAAGCAACAATCCAGTCTTATTTTTCACATGAATCTCCGGCTCATCATTGCTCCACTCAAGTGACGTGAGATGTCGTAGAGGAGGCTAATATCGCCAGTTGTTGCAGACTTCATCCCTATGTAGGCTAAGGAGTCCACTTACTCTCGCTCGTCCCTTCTGCCAGAGCACTTGACTTCCATCTGTAGAGCCGAATATCGTTAACGGACTTGATTCTTGGCTCCTCTGGTTCTCATCCGCTCTATCGCGGCTTTTGCTTCATTTTTCTTTTGGCAGGATTCATTAATAATTCACAATTTTCTCTGTGTGTGCAACTTACGCAGGTTGTTCTCACTCGTCACTATAAAAACATTCTTGGTGGCCGTCCATTACTCTTCTACGGTGCCACCTCACCCTCAAGTGCTTCGAAGAACGACCTTTTCTCTGCTGGATCTTCCACCAGCGAGTGTTGAATCGCTTACCGACGCCCCTATTTTTCCGAGATCATGGCGTCTTGTAACCGAGTCATGGCTCATAGTCCATGTTATCGAAGCTGATCTTCACATTGAAGTCGCCATGGTAGATCTTGATGTTACCCTTTGTAACCTTATTCACGGCGACATTCAGTTGACTGTATAAAAAAAACTCCTTGTCCTGATTATCGTCTTAATACGAGGCTCCCACTTGATGGGTATCAGTATATGCCTGAATGCTAGCTTGAATGCTAAGTAGGAATCCAACTCCACGGTTCCGAGAACCGTTTTGACGACAACTGGCCCATACAGTTGTTTTTTTTTAATTGAAAATGAACAATCGGATATGGATTGCCTAATTAGAGAGAGGGAATCTGATATATCTATAACAGTAGACAAAAACTGAGGGACAAATTAATCTTACAGAGGATGCTGATTTGTCTATCCGTTTTTCTTCTAGGTCTTCCGATATCTGGTAGTGCAAAATCCTCCGCAGCGCATAGTTCAGCGACGCCGTCCGTAGATAGATACGCTGCCTTGAAAGATTTGGATGACCAGTTTCGGGAAATTAAATTCGAAACCGAAACAAACAATAACAACAATGGCACCTCCAATGGTACCAGCAGTGGAATGAATGGCAACCATACCAATGAAGTGCATCAAGGTAAGACAACAATCATTATCACTATCGAGACGTACTTTAATGAGTTTTATACGGTTCAGTATCCACAGCAAATCCCTTCAAATCAGCAAATCCGTTCCAACAACATCAACAACAACAACAGCAACAACAACAACAACAACAACAGCAACAACAGCAACAACAACAACAACAACAACAACAACAACCACCACAACAACAACAGCAACCGTCACAAACGCTGAGCTGGACCATTCCTGGTTCCACGCCGTCAAAGACAGGAGCGACTACCAACGGTTTCTACGCAACGTCACCGTACCAGAATGGGTTCGTGCATCCGCATCATCTGCTGAATGGCAATGTGACGAACGGGGTCGGTTTCACCAACGCCTTTCACCATCATTCGGGTATGACAGGCGCCGCTCCTGCGGTACCACAGTTCAACGGTACAGCTCCGATGAACCACTTTGGGCATTTCGGCAATCCTTTTATGGTAAGTAAAATTCAGTTTATATTTTTTTTAGTCGAACAGTTTAATTTTTATTTTATTTCCACACAGGCCGCAGGTGCTACAACCGCAACGTCCAAATCGAACAATCCATTCTTATGAGTATTCTCGTAGGACAACAGTAATGCCAGCGGCGGCATCATGCTGCAGCCAAAATCCTAAGCATATACAAACACATATAGGTAACCTATCTACAACAATACCGGTAGAGCAGAGCAGTCGAATATGCGGTTGTGCATTGTGATTTACACTGTGGTGATGTGCTCTTTGTCTCTAAGAGGTGTAGAATATTTAACCGTGCTTTTTTCCGGCTAGTGTGTAGTAAATGGAAATGTAAACGTATATTTCCATCGCGTCAACTGGAAAATCGCGGTAGACATGATTTCATCAGAACAAAACAACTTGGAGTGATATATCGTTTTTAGTTATAGAGAGGGCCGGGGAAGTCTCTGGAAGCAACACGGAATCGAATTGGCGGTGTGTAAATTCGAATGTTTGTAAATCTGTATATTTATGATTCTGTTTTAAGCGCGTGATTTTGGAATACACACAGACAGCAACCGAGAGAAGCGAGGAATGTGAGTTTTCTTTCTGTTATTAATATGATGTACCATTTAAAGCATGGGTGGGTCGAGTGATAGTCACGACGAGAGACGAGAATATTGCCAATGTGCCGAAAATTGAAGTGATAAATTCCATTACGCAAATTGATTGTAGAGTGAATATGTGAGTTTTATCTGTTTCTTTGTTTACGATATCCGTTGCATGGTTTGTGTACTAGATGTCTTTATTTTACGGAGATACAGGCTGGCTGCTCGGTCCGGAAGAATCGTCGTTATTTATCGCTTATGTGGAGGTTTTCTTATTGAAGCTACACGTGGGATTTAGATGAAGGCAAGTTAACGTCATTTTAATTTGATCATGATCAAATTGCAATCTTCAAACATTGTTTTCTTGTTATCATTTCTTCTTTAAACTTCTATCTATCTATCTAGCATACCTACTTTTTTGGCGTATGGCTAAGACCCAGACTTGAAGCAACTTGCATCTGATTTTTCAATGCCAACGAGATTATCAAATATATTGTATTAACAATATGATCTATTCATGCCTTTTCCATACCTTGCAATAACGACTCGAAAAATATTGCTTTACGCACCATCTAGCGTTGAAAAAGGTTAGCAACAATCATCCAATAACAAGCGAGGGGCGCGAATATAGCACTTATTACAAAAATAAAAGTCAAATTATTTCCATTTATTACATTTTGTATATTACATGCATGTATGTCGGCTGTCATCAAATTAAATAACATGCTGAAATACATACATTATAAATATTATACAAATTATAAATCGGTTTACCCTGCGTGAAGATTATCAAATACATTTGTAACCTTTTTGGGCAGTCGGTTCGCCAGTTATGCGAAAGAGTAGATCATATTGTTGATATAATATGTTTGAAAATTTTGCAATGGACTCTATGACATTACCCAGTATACAACTACCATGATCGGCGTTGTCCCAAAAATCAACCATTAGGGGTGATGCATATATTATGTTACGCTCTCTTTTAAGATTTTGTTACAAGCAATGCATTAGGTAGGAAATACGTGACGGAAAGGACGAGAACTTTTCCTCAATTTAACGTGACATAATTAATGCATGGCCCTATCCAATTTTAACAATCCATTTCAAATGTTGTTGAATTTTAAATAATTCTTTCTTTTTTAAAGACGCAAATGAATTTTTTTTCAATAAAATGCACCACGAAAACGCTCAATTATTGCAATACATATAGCTGCTCAAATTTATTTACAGGAGCGGACGGACAAGCGTCTAGAAGAAACTTCTTTTAGAAGCTACTTTTAGAAACTTGTTCATACTACGCCATGCAAAATTTTAAATCTGCATTATTGTGATAGTTTTTTAAGATGGCTGAGAAAGGCCAATATTTATGGCTTATATTGCATTGCAATTTTGGAGTAGCTTTCATAATTGAACAATGCAGTATGATTGAGATACAGCTAAGGGTGCTTCCATAAACCACGGGGTACTTACAAATAATAGCATGAACATTAAATCCAGTATTGCTATATCAGCTGCTTGCTCATCACTTGGTGTAATGTAAGTCGGTTTTTAAAAACGTGTGAGAAAATCGCGAAACGACTTACTATAAGGGAGTTTAGGAAAGTGAGGTTATATCAGTGCATTTTATACCGATATAGTTACACACATGATCGGCATTTTTTCATAAACAAAGCTAACTTTACTGAAAAGTCGTTTAACCATAGTAAAAGATAAATTGTTATTTTTTTCGAGAGCAGTATGTGAATGGAATATGCAAGAACAGCTCATGATCAATGATTCTTCATTTGAAAAATGGACGTTTCTTTCAAAGTTTTGAAGAACAAATATTGATAAAAATAGATTAATGTTCGAAAAAGCAATAAACCCTTATTTATTAAAATAAAATCTAAGTGACACATATATTATCTTTTAATGAAGTATTTAATGAAGAAGGCCAAATTTCTTCTTTACGGCATATACAATCTCTTCCATGGAAATTTAATAAAGAATGGAATACAATCAACTCTCTCTTACTCGATATGCAAGTAGCTATTGACAACATCAAGAAACCAGAAATTCCCGCATATTACATATATTAACCAATATTTCAATACTCAAATCAAATGTGGTTTTAATAAGAAATTCGTAGTTGCGTAAAGTTTTCAGGTATCTTTAACTAAAAATGCACAACCAATTTTATATTTTTTATGGAGCACAATTACCTTAATTTTGAATAATTAAGATCAATTTTACAGCTACGAATTTATTTATAATTATCGGTGAATAATATTAAACCCCTCTATATGAACGGAGGTGAAAATAAATGGACAACAAAGTATTCGAAACACATCGAGTTAGGGAAAGAACGATGCTTACAAAATGCAATGGACCTTGAAAATGATCGAGTTTGGGACAATATCTAGTTATAGAATATCTAATAAGGGAGAGTTGACTGTATTACGTTTTTTTTTCGAATATTTTATTACTCCTTTTCAAGATCTGTTCTCTAAAAACCAAAATACGGCTCAAAAATATCGAATACGCCATTTTGATTTTTTTTTGCTAGACTCAAAATGGCCGAATTTTAGCTCAAATGTGAATGATTGACGATAAATGATTATATTCCCTTCTTTTGATGACGAGGTGTTCATTTATATTTTATTCAAATGCAGCTTTTGACAAATAGTTCTTTTTTTCATGATCTTGTTATGAATCATTGAAAAATAGCAAATAGTTTGTAAGAATAGCTCATGTTCAAAAGAAGGTTAAATTCCCAATAAATGATTTTTTCTCCCAATAGTGTTCATAAGTACCGCAGTCGTAAACATAAACAATGGCTTCTTCCGCAAATTTTCCGAGAATGAAAACTCACCCAGGGGGAAAAGTTCTTCTATCCGATGGCTTACATGGATAGGCTTTGAATTATGTGCTTGCGACTTAGGAGCTTTTCTTTTTTTGATTATGAGCTATTATGTCTGTTCCCGTACTTGCTTTTCTTGTAAGATCCTGTACAGCATGGAGCAAAAGCATGTTCCCGTACTTTATGTAACGGGTGTTCAATAAAAAATGAGAATTTTTTCAGTCATATAGCTAGTAAAAAAAATTTTTTTTTTAACCGAATTCAGTATTTTTTATTAAAAACATAATGTTTATTCTCCAAAAAAAGTCAATCAATATTGGAGAAGGGGCCCTGGTCAGCCGTACGACGCAACTTAGTCGCGATGCTCTCACAAGAGCCGTGGACGGTATTGAAATCATTCTCATTTTTTATTGAACATCCGTTACCATATATTTTCTTACAACTTACTGCCAAAGCAAAGAAGCAAGTACAGGAACAGAGCTATTCTTTCATAGTCCATTCATATGCGGCTCGTGAAAAAGAATTTAGAGGGACATGGGGCAGTTAGGCCACATTAAGAAGTCCCTCACTAATGATACCAAATGCAGTGAAAAATTCGAATGATCTTCAACCAAATGGATAGTTCCAAGCCCCATACTGCCCATAACCGCAATAAGAACATATTCCGGAGTGTACGGGCTTGAGACCAATATTTTTTTAAATGTACCAAGCCCACCATATACGATAAATCAATTCACATGAACATTCAAAAACAAGATCAATACGAGTGATGAAACCCTTAGAAATCAAAATGCATCCTACGACGCATCAAATCACATGATAATTCAAAACCATAACCATTGGTGGTCATATTTATTGAGGGTTGTAAAAACCACATTGGCCACATCCGGACATGTTCCGGGGAAGTGGACAGAATCTGTCTATCATGATGCGATGTTGTCCAACATCCTTGATTATGTATTTAGAAACAAACCCAATAAAATAGCTGTGACGTATTTTTTAGATTATTTTTATGAAATCATATTTTGTTCTAATGGGTCTGAGTTGCGGTTACTTTTTGTTGTGGGACAATTTGACTTGGTATTGTTTTTCAGTTTTCCTGAACAAATCCCATTTTTTTGAATAGCACAGCTCAAAAAACATTAAAATTTAAACTGAATAATCATGCTAATCTAAAATGGATAAAAATGCACATGTTAGTGACTTGTCGTTACCGGCAGCATATAGGGGAAATGTATGTAATGTCGGCCTAAGTGTCCCTAATTTGGGCCCATACATAAATTCAGCAATCGACTAAACTTTCAATAGCAACCAAAAATATCCATTAGTACCGTCCCAATGACGCGTTCATCTAGATACAATTGATAAATAGCACATTTTTAGCGATGGGCCCAATCCTAGATCCGTAGGCCAACATTAGAGCCATTACCCCTACATCATGAATTCAAATTGAAAATAAAAACTAAACTTTTGACTTTTAAATCATATGAACAAATGTTGTACAAAAAATCGTTTCGTCACCGAAATACAACCTTTGGGGTAAAATGAGTACTCTATCGGGGTGGTATGGGTGCCCTAGTAAATAACAGTAAATAACAATTTTCTGTTCTCATGAAGATTTCTGAAGTGAAGAAGTGAAGGGTCAAAAATGAACAATTTTAGCAGCCGCTTCAAAACGTGATTATACATATGATACAGTCATATTTCTAAAACGAATAATGCAAAATCAGAGATTTTAAGTAAACAATATTTAAAAAATGAGGGGTGTTCATATTGTCCCGATTGGACTTGAGACATATTTTCTTAAGAATAACTTTTATGATTATTGGGAACTAGAAAAGTTTCGTGTCATATAAGAAACTAATGACCAGTTATGTAGCTGCTGAAGGAATATTAGCGATTAGTTATTAGAAATCACTGTTAAACCTTATTTGCTGATTCAGAAATCTTACAACATTTTTGACATTTTGAGCTAATCTAACGCTTTTCGAATATGTGCAAATTAATAGTTCAAGCCTACTGTCATTAAGCAAGCCCATCCGTGTTTTCACGAATGAAAACGTTTTCCTATTATTAAAGGGACGTTCGAGGAAATAGACTAGACTTTAAATTCAGGTGGGTTAGTGTAATTGGATCGTTTTTGTTATATAGCGAAATAATTAGATCAGTCCTTAACAATGTCTTTAGATCCAATAACACCAAATTCAGCACAATTAAATGTTTGATATTTATTTTATTTCTAAATGTCATCGGGAAATGGTCTATTCCGTTATTTCCATGAAATGGTTCATCCTGGATATTTTCCGGGAAATATTTTCCAATTTCAAAACCATTTTGAATGAAAAAAAGCGTCTCGAAAATATTGTTTTCATTGAGTCCCAAGAAATTATGGTAAACAAACCGCTTAGGAGCAAACACGAATTTACAATGGCTGAACATCTCATTTATACGATCTAGAGAACCTTTAGACTAGACAAATCTTGTCGCCATGAATTGTTTTAGTACACTCATAAAAAATAACACGTCACTCACATGTGTTTCACATCTAAATTTGCGCAATTTGGCAAACACATCCATTTCATGTGTGAATGTTTTGATATAAACTATTTCTTATCACTATAAAAACGCTTGCGACACACGCGGATTTCATATGTCCCAATTGTTGACTTAAAAAATCTGACACATAATTATCAAACGCTCTACACTTGTAAGTGTGATGTCAATCATATCGGATTAGTATGTCATGTTTATTGGGTTTTAACTATTTTGTTTAACACAAATTTGTTAAACAAATTTCAATTTTATTTAAAATTTTTACACATTAATATTCTATTGCTGCTTTCCCCACTTCGATCTCGATGCCAGTCATCCGTACAGGAGCCATTCGTGACCCAATTTAAGTAAAGAGGTTTACTGCAAGGATAGTTCTGAAAAGAGAATGCTGATAAGATTTTAATGCTATTGGCAGTACAATAGAAGTTACTCACCTTTTCGAATAAGTTTCTAGTTCGATAGACATGGCTCCCAGAATATCCTCCAGAATCAATTTCTCTGAAGAGAATTCATGTATAACTTCATCACTACAAACAATCCGAAAATAAATCAGATAAAATAATTTCATGCATATCATATGATTACCTCTCCTTGTCAATCAACACTTCGCTGAACCTATCAACTCGAAACACCGGGCCACAATGCATAATCATCTTCCTTTATCACTGGTTTTTTCGGTTGGTAATGATCTCCTTCGGAAATTTTATCTAGCAAGAAAATCACTCTTGGCCCTGCTATCCACGTAAATGTTCTTCGAGCATAATCTTCGGGAATTATATAATTTGCATACGGTGCAGCTGTTTCCCATGGCAACGCCATTTTTACTTGATTTAGGATGAAGTTGACAGGTGGAAAAAAATATCTTCTTGTTTACCTTTGAGAAACAAGTAATTCGCATCGTATTGAAATGTTAATCACTTGAAAGCGATTTGTTTTCAACAGTGGTGTGGTTTCATAAGTTATTCAATTGGTTCAACGTGAAATACACTTGAATTGATGGAGTGAGATTTTTCATCAATCCAAAGTGTAAAGCACTAGAACAACACTTTGATCCAATGTGGAAATCCCTGAAAATCAATGTGGATGTGCATTTGAAAAATCAAGAGTTCAAACATTTGAATCAGACGTGTACATTTTTTTGAGTGTATTCTTCTTGTTAGGTATTAGGAGAAGGAGGGGCATAGTGAACAGGTGCATATTGAGCTTCCTGTTCATTAGCCTTGGATTTATAATGGTTGGAAATAAATTAATTGGCCATTAATCATTGCAACCTGGTACCAATGAATTTCATTCGAACAATTATTAGAGGTTTGGGGCTATAGCGCGGGATGTTCATTATGCCCCACCTGTGAACACTATACCCACTTACCCCTACTAGATATTATTGAAGAAGCAGCTGATTTTGTTGCATCATCTGTTCCGAATGTCTATCTTGAGGGGTATTTTTTAATTCTTGTTTATTTTCCGTCGGTTTCTGTTGCGCAAATTTCGTCTCAGGAAATACCAACGACCTCGGCGGGGATTGAACCCAGCCCCACTGGGGTAAAAAAGCATTCACACTTACCACTCAACACTGGCGCCGTAATCTCTATAGTTACATTTGCATCTGGTTGGAAATTTGCTCATATGTTTCCTGTTCACAAAAAGGGAAGCAAACGGGATGTGAATGATTATTGTGGAATCAAATCGTTGATCGCAGCTTCGAAGTTAATCGAGTTAGTCATTATGGAGCCTCGGATTTCTCAAAGTAAGCAGTTTCTAAGTGGCGATCAACTCTTTTGCAGTTAAGTTCCTACCTAGTCGTCGTATAAAGAAAAAAAGTTTCTGATAGGAGTTCAATAATCGAATGAAAATACATCTTGTGACCAGTTTTCCTCTGAATGGGAAACTTTGCAATCACTGGGATCACACACACATGGGAAATACGCAAATAACCTCTCTTGGATTTAGCGTATTTCCTACCTCTTTTTTTTTCTTTTCCGGTTGCTCAACAATCGTTTGCTGGAACAAATTGCATTTAACTTGAGCTACCGCACCGTTAATCTGTAAAATCTAAATCGATGCTTCGACGTGCAAACATTGCAACGAAATCTATCTAACTACGACTTCATACTTTATACTGATTCTAATGATTCCGCTTTCTAGCAGTCAGCCTGAAAAGTTGTTGTAAATAGAGCCCAGAACAAATTATTTACCCTTCATTTTAATATCATAATCAAAGAATTATCCCTCACACCAAATATAGAAAATCGAAAAAGTATTGAGAGAATTGTCGCCATAATCAACTTACTCACACATTTACAATCATAGGTTGTAAAGATGAGGCACTCAAACTAAATTATGACAAGTTATACCTACTGTTTAAACAAGCAAACGAACAAAAAATTGTACACACATGCTGCATGTTCGAAACTATCTACCTAAATTCACTGTCGCCAGCAGATAACGTGATTTTAATGTTGAAAAAAAAAAAAACATGGAAGTTAAAAGATAAATCCAGGCCCGGTATGTTTCATACTATTCATACCGTAATTATACACCCCATTGCTATTGTGCGACGGAAAGGTGCAACTCGAATTCTGCACGCAGTTTTTACTATGTACATCTTGAAAGTTAGAAGATTCCAAATCGTTAAAACTACAGCTCTACTAATAGAAATCGTTCAATCATCAATACGTGATCTATGCTCAAAACAGAAGAAAATTTACACAAAAATAATAGATAATCTTAGCCGTTCGAAGGTACTTTGAACTACGAGTATATTGAAGAATAATCTATTCTACAAAGCTATAAAGTTGTAAAAGTTATTTGAATTTCAAAGAAGAAGAAAAAAATGCTTGTGTGGCCTTACATAACCGAAGAGTTTTAACAAACGTTAAGCAGTAGTAGTCAGATGGAACAGAGGTTTAGAACAATGTTTTACCAGTTTTTCTTTTATTTTTTTTTTAGAATTTTCAACGTTAGTACCTTTGTGAGAGTTTATCCCTGAGATCCTTTCCTAGTGCTGTAGTTAGTTCCCGTTGTTTCATGCCTAGCATAGCCAATAATTGGTACGTGGTAAGCTTTCGAAAGGACGCCTTCAATTGATGCTTTTGCAAATTGCCGAATAGATAGTTTTCAACGTTTTAGCTAGCAACCTACTTTTTTTTCTCAGCTTTAGTGCAGGGATTCCGATGCGGTAGATTTTTTGGAGAAATTTTCGACTGATTCAT